CATGTCATGATCTCAGTGTACTTATGCCTACACTCGTATCAAGATGATTGTCGTATGTCTAGTATTCAACCGCTACAACAACCTGGGCTTAAAAAAAAGAGAAGGTGAATATCAATAACTGATAGATTACTAGCAAACTCCTTATTCAGGAGGTAGGCAATCAGTGCAAGAAGTCTTTAGACCGGTTATAACTCGATACATTGAAACGCAAGGTTGTACTATCTGCACACATATTATCATATCACCATGATAGTTAACAAAATAAAATATTGGGGCTCTGTTTTTTTGTGAAACTTAGACCATATGCCTTACTATATATATGTTTATAAATCTTATATTAACCTACTATTAGTTATATGCATAAGAGTATACATATTCACATAAAATATAATTGTTTTTCGTAAAAAAATCAACAAATTAGTACTTGTAAGCGCACCATATAGCAATCCCGCACCTCATATGGACTCCCAACATAATGATTACATACACAACCATTTGACCTTTCCCTCTTTTAACCTTTCCTCTACATCCACATTGAGGAACTTACCCAAGTTAGTACAATATAATAACATTTGAACCATGGCATGTAATAATACTATGAATCCCACTACCATTGGCAAGGCTTTAAAATAAGAACACCCATCTTTGGATTCAATTGAGGATGATATAGCAATTACCTTAGTACAAACTTGTCAGTGTACTGGAACGACCTTTAGGTGCTGGATTTGGGGGGTCCAGTCGTGGTTGATATAACTGTTATCTTGGTACAAACTTATTAGGTTACCAGAACAGCCTTGGTACAAACTTATCAGGGTACCGGAACAGGTACTGGTCCAAAGGGTTCTAGTAGTGTGGTTGTCATAGTGTCACCTTAGTATAGACTTATCCAGGTCCTGGAACGAGCTCCAGGTACTAGTCCAGGGTCCCAAGTAGTGTGGCTAGCATAGCTGTCACCCTAGTATTGACTAAGATCCTGCAAGGGCACAGAGGATCTTCAACTCTCTGTCTCATACTACAACCGACCTAGTAACTAGGCTATCGCTTGGGATATGAACTCATCTATCAACTAGGACATCAACTTCATCAACTTACCTATCAACTTGGGGTATCAATCCCCCTATCGACTAGGCTATCAATTAGGCTACGTAGAAAACCACCATTTCTGTGATCCTATCTTTAGCTCACATGCCCCCGCCCCAATATGCACACACCCTCCCATGCACACATGCAACCATCCACAAACACATGCATGGGGATTTGTCCCCATTCACATGCATGCAACCATCCTCACATACTCAACCCCCTCATAGGCACTGAGCTATATCCAACCCAACCACCCTACTCCTCGCAACCTGCTTTCTAAAGTAGTGAATGGTTTTTATTGAACCACCAGTATGTTTCCCAACCATTTTTTCCGCGACGCGGCTGCATGCAGGCCACGTCTGGCAGGATGTGTCCAGGTGTTGCTTCCCAAAATGTCCATCCAGGCAAAACGGGCTTTGCATGCAACGCGATTTGCCTGGATGTATTTTCCGTGAACCATCACCCCGGTACATCCCACCACATAGCGCACATGCAGCCGCGTCCTAGAAAACGGCTGGCAAGCACGCTGGTGGTTTAGCATTCTCATTTAAACCACCAATACCTTTGGGGCTCGCCACACAGGCTTTCGAAACGCGCAAAATCAAGGCCGTGTCATCGCCACACAGCCTTTCGAAACCTGTTCTTTCGAAAAAGTTTGGAAAGGTGTCAGATGGGCCGGCGTTGAAAGTCCTTACGAACATATGAGCTCCTCCCGCCTGTCACGAGCCTTTCCTCGAAAGACATCGAGTGGTCTTTTCAAAAGGCCCACCCAAAACGGCTGATCGGTCGCAAAAAAAAAGAAAAAAAAGGGGCTATTCCAAGGGCGTGGCTCCACTACTCTCGACAGGCGCAAACGACAAAAAATATGGCGAAGTATCTTTCCATGTTCCAGGCAAAGATTCAGACTCTCGTTTTTGAGCAATGAGCCAGGCCCTAATGTGCATTTATCGAAAGGCCTGGGTGTTTTGAAAGTCTGTGTGGCGAGGGGGGGGGTTCCTTTCGACGAGCAGACTTTCGAAAAAAGTCTGACACGCGTGGGAAACAACACCCCACCTGTGGCTCCACTGTCCCTTCTCGATTAAACTTTGGCAATGGTGGCGCAGACACTGGAAGAACTTCTCAGAAAGTTCCCCCGATCAATCATTTGTCTGGTCTGACTCCTGGATTCTCACAGGAAAGGCGGATAGCCTAAAGCCGTTTGAGAAGGGCTGGGGGTACATTGCGCAAACCTGCAGAGGGCTAATTATGGAAGTAATCTGGCAGGGAAGAAACGACGCACTATTCAGAGGTGAGGTTTGCTCAGCAGGGCTCAGAACATGGTGAAACAGAGAATAAGGCAGATAGTCAGAGCAGATTGGCAGAGGAAAGGGACACTGTGGTTTTCGAATACCTGGGCAATAGGCAATCACTTGACGAAAGTCACAGCCGACTCAAAACTGGAAATTGGCCCATGGTTGAGGGCTGGATCACCAGATACATTGGGGAGCCGGGTTAGGCCGACCCCAGCACGGATCTAGATGGAAGACATCTATGAGAAGATGAACCGGGTAAGATCTGGGCTGCCGAGATATTGGGGGGTAGACGGTAAAAGGAACGCTGAGCTCCGGACTGTTAAACCAGTGAATCTAGTAACCGGTCCCCCGTTATCTTGTCGGAGGTTTGGTTTGATTTCCTAAGATGGCTTTAGTAGTAGTAGTATGAGAGAATACTGTGTTTGGTACAGATAACCTTGGACATTTTGCTTCGTTGGTAACTCTGGGGAATTCAATTGGGCCCCAGAATTCGTAGAGGAGTGTGATCCTGGTTCTGGTGTACCGTGCTAAGTTTAGCTCTCCCTCGAACTTTCAACCTTCGGGCAGTCTGAGAACGTAGCAATGAATAAGCATAGTAGTAGGGTTTGACTCAGATATCCTTTGGTATCTCTAATTGGCCTCTCTACCGCTGACAGGAGCAGTAGGAGAGCAGTGGGGAACACGAGCAGTAGGAGAGCAGTGGGGAACACGGGACATTGGACCCGCCCCCCAGGGTAATGCAGAAAACAGACAGAGGACTGTAGGAAGACTTGGAGGGTCGATGATAGACTCCCGCTAAGCGAAGCCGGGTAATGCTCCCGGATAGGAAGGTCTTTAGGAGTATAGATAGGATGTAGCTTTATAAATTGTGTCCTTTGGTAGAGTTTATTAGTCTGTTCTGGCTAGCTTTTAATTTCGGTAGATGTTACTAGTCTGTTTCTGTCAGCCTTATTTTAGAGATAGCAGACTATTGGCAGGAGAATGGGACACTGGACCCGGTTTCCAGCCAGCCTCTCTGAGGCTTGGTTCCCCTTCCCGGGTTGAGATGTGGAGGGATTCCCAGCCTCCTTTTGCCCTTATAATGGAATCATGGTATTTCAAAAAAAAAAAAAAAAAAAAAAAAAGGTCTGACACCTTTCGAAAAATGCCTTCGTTCGAAAGCCTGTGTGGCGAGCCCCTTTCTCAGCTATCCATGCCCAGGCTCAGCCGACCGGTATCCCGACCCTTGCCGACCCGTGGCCTACCGGTAGTACCATATGAACCAAAAAAAAGAGAACAAAGAAAAAAACAAACAACATTCTTACAAAAAAAAACAAAAGAAAAACAAACGAGCCAGACCACAGTTCCACACGCGCGGGGAGAGAGAGAGAGAGAGAGAGAGAGAGAGAGAGAGAGAGAGAGAGAGAGAGAGAGA